ATTAGATGCATAAAAAATAATTAGCCATGCAAGCGTTATATATAAAAAAAATAATAAATTTAATTACTAATTTTTTTTTTTTTTAATTTTTTAAATTAAAAATTATAAAAAAAAAATATTTATTTTTTTTTTTTGAAAAAGATTTAAATTGTTAACTAAAAAGTTTTTTGTAGTATATTTTGTTTAAATTTACACAATAAAATTTTATATTAACGATAAGATGAAAAAATTTTCGTGATTTGTAATATTTATATAATTTAATTTATATTTCATTAATTGTGCTTATTGACTTAAAAACAGTAGACTTCAGTTACTAAACATTAATTATAACATTATAAGTAACATATATTTAATTAAAAATTAAAAGTGAGGATTTAAATTTTTCATAAAATTAAGGATTTTTATTAAAATACTTAAATGCTTAAAAATAATAAATGCTCAATGAAGTAGAGAACAAAAAAACAGTATATTACTTTGTATCATTAAAGCTAAATTTAAATTCATTAAATTGGTAGAGGAAACTCAACATGTTCTTTATTAATATGTTTTCTCAAAGCTCTATTAAATACAATGAAAGGACAATTAATAAATTATTAAGACACATTTTTTGTTAAAAAATTTTACACAATGAAGTATAACCAAAAAAAAAAAAAAAAGATAAAAATATCTACGAGAAGAGGTTTAAGTATATAAAAAAAATTAAAATTGAAATATTAATAAAGAAAATAATTTTACTAAAAGTATTATGCTTATATTTGCATAATATATTGATTATATGCTTTATAACTGTGTGTGTAAAGCTTTCATATTTTTAAATAATCAAACGTTAAATAATATTAACAATAATTTCAAATAAAGGCATAATTAATTTCATTAAAACTACTAAAGATTTCTTTATAAGCTCATAAATAATTAGTTTATTCATTACTTTATAAATACCTTTGAATAGAAAATAAAAACAGTAATGTAATTATGTTAAGCTTGTGCATCCATTAAAAAGTATTTTTATGATAAACAATACTAATATATATTGATCTAAGCACTTTGTATTACGTTATTTTTTCAACAAACTAAAAAACTCTTTAAAAACAAAACCAATAAATATCCATCCAATTTCTTCTTATCGTTTTTAATATTGGTATTAACTATTCTTATTATTTTTACTTATTTTTCTATGATACTTTATTTTAACTAATAATTTTTTTTTTTTACGTACATTTTCTTATAAAAGAATAGTTAATTTGATTACTTACATTTATCTTTCTGTAATACTTAAATCATATTATCATATTGTTTTATTATATGGATGTTCACTGACTTTACTTGAGTATTGAAAAAACAAATTAATAAAGAACATGTAGAGTCACCTCTACGGTTTTAATGTATTTATATATATTTTTAAATGCTTTGAACGAGTGATCCTTAATTATGTAATTTACTTAATTTAGCATTCTTTAATTTCAATAGGCATTTATTTATTTTAATAAAAATCCTTATTTTTATTAAAAATTTAAATCCTTATTGAACATTAATTATTAATTAATTGTAAATTACTTATTTATTTGTTATGAGTTACGTTCAGCAATTTAAATATATTGCTGTTGAATTAACAAAACATAAACAATTAGTAAAAATACAAAATTAATTATATGAATATTTATTACGTGAAAATTTTATTATTGTATGTATAAAATTTTCTCTCACAAAATTCATTAAAATCATATTTTAATTCCAAAAAAAAAAAAAACCTTTTTTTTTTTTTTTTTATTTTATTTTATTTTATTTTTATTTATTGGTAACAAATCTTTTCCCAATTGATTTTTTTTTTTTATCAATTTTTTTTTTTCCTGACAGTCTTTGTATTTTTTTTTTGGGGTGTTCACGACCAACTACGTATTCTTCATATAACTAGTCCTTTTATTTTCCAAAAAGGTTAATAAAGCCTTTTATTAACCACATATTTATAATTGTTACCAAATTTACTTCATAGTGTAGGTTTTAGTGAAATACTAATTATGAAACTGAAATTTTCATTAATACTAATGGCAATTAAAGACTTTCTAAGAAACGTATAATTGATTAATCACAAAATAACTTTTTTTGCTATATTATTAAAATTAAAAAACAAACTTTTTAAAGGTCATTTCTTATTTAACTTTCTTAGTAATATTATATCAACAGAGTTAAAATAAAGTAAACTAAAATCCTCAAATAACTTATTCAGAATAATGAACAATGAACTTTTTTAATAATGTCTATCAAAAAATAACATATAAATTATTAAATTACTATATTTAATTAATTGTATTTAAGCACAATTTTTACTTTTAAGTATATAATTATTCATACATTAATTTTATTTTTTTCTATTATTTCTACAAAACTATCACTCCACTTTTTTGTTTCTAATTTTTCTTACAGTCATTTTTTACATATATACAATAATTTTTAATTCTTTAAAAATAAACATATCTTGCTTAATCTTTTTGAAAATATTCATTTAAATTTTTCCTCAAATAATTTTGTGAAACATTTATAATAATAAATAGAAAATTAGTAACTTAAATTTTCACATTAATTATATACTAAATCTTAATTAAAAATACATAAAATATTTAGTAAACTTCTAATATTCATAAATTCTTTTTTTCTGTTTCATTATTTTATTATCATTTATAATTCTAGTTAATTATTTTCCTTTCATTAAAAGAATTTTTTGATATTTTTTTTTTAAAAATTTTGAATTAACATTTTTTTTTCAATAAAATTTTATTTATCTTTAAATTAAAATATATCCAAATAAAAAATAATATGTAATTTATATAAGAAGTTTATAAAAAAATTATAGCAGTTAATAATACTCCATCCAAAAATATATAATTTTTTTTTTTGTTATTATATTTAAAATAATGATATTAAATATTATAAAAATAAAAATTATATTATTTGCTTTTTATTTATAATAAAACTTAAAAAAAACTATGTGTATATATTAATGAATTTTATATATTTTCAACAATTTTGTCTAGGTGGTGTAAATCTTTAAAAAATAAAAAAGTATTCCTTATGGATAAAATTTTTTTAATTTTTTTACATTATAAAATAATATTACATAAATTTAAGCAATTTTTTAAAAATTCATTTTAATTAAATTTTGTTTAATTTACACTTATTTTTCACTTTCACTAAAATACTTATTTTTTTTTGTCATACTTATATAAATTATTTTGTGTTTTTTTCTTATAAATATCTTATATAATTTTATGAAAAATTAGATTTTTTTTTTTCTAAAATACTTTTTTTTTTTTTTTATGTATAAATTACAAAGAAAAATTTTTTTTTTCTTTAAATTAATATAATTTGATTAGTTATATATAAATAATATTATAACATACATTATTTTTTTCCTATTTTCAAAATTTAAGTACTTATATTTTTTATAATATATTAAAAATTTTAATTCATATGAAAATTAATTGATTATTACAATATATAAGCATTTCAAATACAATAATGATTAAAAAAAACAAATTATTCGTGTGTTATGTCTATCATAATTATTAATAAAATTGTTTTTAAAAATAAATTTATATATTATTAATTGTAATAATAATATATATAAAAAAATGACTTTACATTTTAGTATAACTTATATTAATAACGTGAAAATCAAAATTTTAAATATTTTATTATGATAATAATAATATTAATTTTCACTAAAGTAATATTATTGCTTCAGTAAAGATGCAATAAATAATATAAATTTTATCAAATAATAGTAATAAAAAGAAAATTAAGATGTAAATAGAAGTTTATAACGAGAGCATGCAATAATTATTAAGTAATAAAATACCAATGTTATCATAATTATATTTTAGAGTGATGAAATATTTTTATTATACGGTTGTTATATTTCTATAATAAGAAGGTAATTAAAATTATATTGCATGCATCACTCCATTTGCAAAAAAAAAAATAATAGTAAATATTGGAAATAATGTGAAAAAGAAAAAAACAAAGCAAAATAGTGTAAATTTTATTGATAGAAAATTCCCTATGAGTGTATTAAAAGTCGTATGAGAAATTAAAATAATATATATATATATATATAAGGATTACATATTATATTACATTAATAATTATTTAGCAATTTTTGATAGAAATGTGAAAAAAATAAAGTGTGAAATGAAATAAATATATATATTCTTTATTTTATTAAGATAAAACAAAAATGATAAAACCATTAAATAACACTAGTAATTATAGCATGCAAAAGTGAATTCATAATTGAAATGTGCTGCATAAAATTATTTTTTTATATATTTAATATAAGGAAATAACAAAAGAGGTAAATAAAGGTATATATATATATATGTTTTGGTGTATTATCTGAATGTTTGAAAAAATTAGTTATTATTTGGAAGAGAGGATGGAAGAGTGATTGAATTTGAACAGCGTTACTTTTAATACAGATATATTAAGTTTTTTGATATTCCAACAATTTTAATAATAAATGTAATTATATTCTTGAAAATGTAAATTCTACCGTGAGAAATTAAAGTATTTTACATTGTAAAAACATATATATTTTATCATATTTTTTTCCTTTTTTTGTAAAAGTAAGCTTAAATAAGTTTTTATAACAATTATTTTTTTGAAGTAGAAGAAATTATTTATTACGAATGAATATAGATAAGTAAATAATAAAAGAATTTTAAATAAATACCTTTTTTTTTTTTTTTTTTTTGGTAATTAACGATAGTTTTTTTTAGGAAAATTTTGAAAGCTTTTCTTTTTTTTGAAGTACTATTGTATTTTTCTGTTTTAATGTTATTTTCTTTTTTTGTTAGCGTTTTATTACTCTTTTTAATATTAAATTTTTGGTATAATTTTTTATTTTAAATATATCCTTTTTTTTTTTTTTTTTTTAAAATTACTGTTATAATCATTTTGTTTTTGTAAAAATTAATTTTTTTTAATTGAAAAATTATAAAAAAGAAATGGATAAAGCACTATTAAATTTAAAAGCTGCTCAAGGAGATATTATTTTAGAAACTGCACTTGATTTTATAAAAGATAAATCACCTAAAAAAATAAATTTATCTTTTGGTGCAATTATTGCAGAAGATGGAAATTATTACTCATTTGAAAGTGTAAATGAAGCTGAAAAAATAGTTATAGAACGATATAAAGATAAGCCATATATATTTAGTAATGGAACAAAAGAATTTTCTATTTTAACGCAAGAGTTGCTGTTTGGAAAAAACTCAAAATATATGAAAGAAAAAAGAATATGTACTATTCAAACCATAGGAGGTGATGGTTCCATATTTTTAGCGATAAAATTTTTAAAAAGTTTGAATATTAAAAGTATTTATGTAACTAATTCTTATTATGTAACACATGTTACTATGATAAAGGCATGTGATTTAACTCCAAAATATTTGAATTTCTTTGATACTAATTTAATGGATATAAATTATGATATGTTTTTAAATGATTTAAAAAGTATTGAAGATCGTTCATGTATTATTCTTCAGACGTTTGCATGTAATCCTTGTAGTGTGAATATTAAAGAAGAATATTTTGAAGAAATTATTGATATTTTTTTAAAAAAAAAACACATTGTTGTTTTTGATGTTGCCTATTTATGTTTTGGAAATTCTGACCTAGATAAAGATACATTATTAATTAGAAAATTTGAAGAAAGAGGAATTGCTTTTATTGTTTGTCAAACCTTTTCTAAATGTATGGCTATTTATGGTAGTCGTGCTGGTGTATTACATATTATTTGTGAGAATAAATCTCAAAGACAAACAGTTGCTAATAATTTATGTAGTATTGCTGAAGCAAGCTACGGTACCCCATCTGTCCATGTTAATAGAGTTATTTGTGAACTTTTAAAAAATGAAAAATTAAAATCCTCTTGGATAAAAGATTTATGTGAATTATCAAAATGTATTAATAATAAGCGCATATTATTTCTTGAAAAGTTGGAATTTTATCAAAAAAAATATAATTTAAAATATCAATGGAATGAATATAAAAAGCAGAGGGGTATATTTGTATATATTCCACTGATTGGTAAAATTTTTCAAAAGTTGAGATTTTATCATATTTATATAATAAACAGTGGAAGAATAAATATTTCAGGAATTACTAGAGATAATGTTGATTATATAGCTGATATCATTTGTCGATGCTTAAGTGAATTATAAAAAAAAAAAATAATGTAGTTTTTTTTTTTTTTAAATCGTTTTTTTTTTATTTATTTAAAAAATTTTGATATATTTTGTAAGGTTATAATTTATTAGAGTAAACATTTTTTCTATTTTATATGAAAAAATTTTGTATTTATTTACGAATTCTCCATTTTGTAAATTTAAAGTAAAAAAAAAAATGATATGTACTTGTGTTTATGAAGTTATTTTTACGCAATTTTCATTGATTCAAATGTTTTTTTTTACCTTTTTATTATTTTTTATTGAAAAATATATAATTGTGATATGATATATTAAATTATAAGTAAAAAGAAAAAGATATACAGTTGTAAAATTACCTACAAATATAAGAGTGTACTCAAATTTATTAAAAAAGTTCTTAATTTATGCATTAAGGTTATTTTACGAAACACTAAAATTATAAATGAAAAAGCATTTATTATTTTAACTATATAAAAATTATAAATAAAAAATGTTTTTCAAGAAAAGGTTAAATGTGTTAAGTATTTATTAACTGGATGTTCGGTGACTTTGCTAGAGTACTGAACAAACAAATTAATAAAGAGCATGTAGAATTGCCTCTACGATTTTGGTGTATTTATATATACTTTTATATGCTTTGAACGAGTGATTCTTAATTATGTGATCTACTTCATTCAGCATTCTTTGATTTCAATAAGCGTTTATTTACTTTAATAAAAATCCTTATTTTTATTAAAAATTTAAATCATTATTGAATATTGATTATTAAATAAATGTAAATTATTTGTTTCTTTGTTATGAGTTATGCTCATAAATTTATATATATTGATGTTAAATTAACAAACATAAAGAATTAGTAAAAATGCAAATTAATTATATTAATATTAATTATGTGAAAATTTTATTGCCATATGTATAAAATTTTTTCTCACATATTAAAAATGTAAATGCTATGCAAATTAAGCTCATTTATGTAAACATTATTACCTGTTTAAGATTTCATTTTGTTCGTACTAAATCTTACTCTCGATTTTTATTTAACCAATATTTTCTCTCCCCAATTAAATCATTTAAAAAAAATAAATATATTTTTTTTTACGAATCTCCATTTACTAAAAGAAAAAAATATCAAAAAAAAATTCAATATTTTTTTTTTTTTTTTTTTTTTTTTCCGCGTGTACACAACCAACTATGTATTCTTCATATAGCTAGTCCTTTTTATTACTAAAAAGGTTAATGAAGCCTTTTATTAACGAAGTATTAAACAAACAGATTAATAAAGAGCATGTAGTGTTGCCCCTACTAATATAATGAAATTATGTATAACTTTAAATGCTATCAACAAATAAATTGTATTTTATGTAGTCTACTTCCTTTAGTATTTCTTGTTTTCGAGAGGCATTCACTTTAATAAAAAATCCTTATTTCCTTTAAATATTTAAATCCTCATTGAACATTTTTTTCTGAATTATATTATACTTTAATGTTATAAATAACGTTTAGCGACTAATTCCTCTGTTCTATCTTTTCTTTTAAAAAAAAAAATATATTTTTCTACATATTTAATTTATAAAAATAAAACAAAAAAAAAAAAAATTAAGAAGTTATTCTTTTTTTTTTATCTATCTTTTGCATGGCTAACACCGTATTTCTGTATAGCTAGTTATTTCAATTCTCAAAAAGGTTAATAACTGTTTTTAATAATCATATTAAGATTATCAAAATAATTAATGAAAATTGCATTTTATATTTAAAAAAATGGAAAAAAAGTAAATATCCATAAGAAACATTCAAAATATCGTAACTAAGAAATAATGCTTAAACATAACATATTGATTTATTAATTGCATGCTCATTTACTTTGTTATAGTGCTAATTTATTAATTGTGTGATCATTGACTTTAATAACAATGAACAATAGAATTAATAAAGAATGTGTAGAGAAAACTATAATTATTTCATTTTTATTAAATTAACATACTAAGTAAATAATTCACTTTTAATAATTAATGTCAAATGTTAATTGCATTAGTTAATTACTATTGTTATTTACACAATATTTCATATATATTACATGTTACATTAAATTATGTGCATACATTTTCCCTGTACCTTAGCATGCATCAAATAAAATATTTTATTCATTTTATTTAAATAAATATTGTCTAAAACAATTCAATAATATTATTTGTAGAATAAGTACTGAACAAACATGTTAACAAAGATTATACAGAGTTTCACATACTAATTTAATGAGTTTAATTATAACTTTAAAAACTGATAACAAGCAAAATATATTTATGAATTTTACTTAGTTAATCATATATTATTTTCAAGAGGTATTTATTCAATTTAATAAAACCCCTATATTTTTATTATAAATTTAAATTCTCCTTGACTATCTGTTCTTAATTAATTTATCACTTATGATGTTATGAATAATGGTAATTAATTGTTTTATTAATTTCCCGTTCAATGACTTTGCGAGAGTATTGAACAAACAGATTAATAAAGAGCGTGTAAAGTTGTTTCTATTAATTTAATGAATTTAGTTATAATTTTAATGTTATAAACCAGTTGGTTAATAAAAAGCTTCATTAACCTTTTTGGCTATAAAAGGACTAGCTATGTGGAGAATACATAGTTAGTTGTGCTAAATAAAAAAAAAAAAAAAAAAAAAAAAAAAAAATTTTTANATAAAGATAAAAAAAAAAAAAATAAAAAAAAGATTTAATTTATTATTTTTTTTTTTAAAGGAGAAAAAAAAATCAGAGAGAGAGAGAGATTTTTTTTTACAAGAAGATAATGATATTTTTGTAAAGCGTTTAATTTGCATAATATTTATATTTTGAATTTGTGAGAGAAAATTTTATACATATGAAGATAAAATTTTCACGTAATTAATATGCATATAATTTATTTGCATTTTTAATAAGTATTTGTGTTTTGTTAATTCGATAGAAATATAAAATGATTGCTGAATATAACTCATAATAAATAAACTAATAATTATAATCAATTAATAGTTAATGTTAAATAAGTATTTAAATTTTTAATAAAATAAGGATTTATTTATTAAAGTAAATAAATACTTATTGAAGCAAAAGAATGCTGAACGAAGTAGTTTATGATTAAAGATCATTCGTTCAAAGCATATAAAAATATACATAAGTATAAGAAAATCGTAGAGTCATCTCTACATGCTCTTTATTAATTGGTTTGTTCAGTACTCTAGCAAAGTCTCCGAACACCCAGTTAATAAATCACCAGTAAACTATATTTATATAGTCTATAAAATATTGAATATATTAAGAGATATTTATTTACTTTAATAAAAATCATATTTTTTTATGAAAAATTTAAATTCTCATTAATTATTAATTTTTAATTACATATATTTTATTTATAATATTGTGAATATTGTTTAGGAACTCATATCCATTACTCTCAAATTAGTAAACATAAATAATTAACAAAATACAAATTAAATAAATGTTACAAACAGAAAAATTTTATTACTGCTAATGTAAAATTTTCTTATAAGAATTCAAAAATAATCCATTACAAAGAAGCTTTTTAGTCAACAACTCTTCTTTTAATTTTTAACCAAAAAAAAATTATTTTAAAAAAAATAAAAATATTCTATTATTTATTTAAATTATAAAGAGAAAACAAAAAAAATTAACTATTTTTTTTCTTTTTTTATCTACTGCTTATATGATTAACTATTTATTTTTCATATAGTTATTCATTCTTTTATTCTCAAAAATGTTAGTAACATCCTTTATTAATCAATAGTTCAATTCGATTGCTTTCAAATTAACAAACATAATCAATTATTATAACACAAATTTAATTATGTAAATATTATAAATACAAAAATTTTATTATTGTTAAAATAAAATTTTTCTTTAAAGTTCAAAATAAAAATTCACTAAAAACTTTTTATTAATAAAGTTTTTTTCTACTTTTCTAAATGTTATATCTTTTTAAAAAAAGCAAATACATTTTTTTTATATAGTTAACTTATAAGAAGAAAAGAAAAAAATATATCAATTTTTTTTTTTTATCTAAAACTCTCATGAATAACCATGTATTCTCTATACAGCTATTAATTTTATATTTTAAAAAAGGATTGTAATGCCTTTTATTAACAACTTATTGAATATAATCTCACTAATGAAAATGTATTATTTATAATAACTGTTATATAAAGAAAAAATATTTGTTTCAATATCAAATTATGAATACTAATTATAAATATAAAATAATTTAACCAAAATATTTATTTATATTAACATAAAATACATATATATGTTCATACTATCTTTTTGTTGTTAATTTTTAAAAAAAGAAAATAAATTTTATTATCTTTTTTGAGGTGATGTGTATGTATGTTGAAATATAATATTTTAAGTTTTGTATAAATATTAACATAAACAAGGTATGAATAATAAAATGGATATTGAATTATAAATTAAGGAATATTTATATTAGTAAAATTTTATTTTAATATAAAACAAATTTTGTTTTAAATTATTTGGTATAATTAATAAGGAATATATTATTATTTAAAATAATTGATATTTAACGAAATAAATAAGTTGAAATCTCTTACGTTCTTTATTAATTTGATTGTTCAAAATAATACAAAAGTTTTCGATTATCCAAATGATAAACTAGTGAACATTTCTTGGTGTATGCGATTTGTAGTACACATTTTTTTGAATATCTTACATTTTATACCCAATTCTTTTCTGTACTCTATTTTTTTGTGTTAAAAATTCTAATGGATCAAAAATATTATTTATTAACGAAATTTCCATATTTAAATATAGTTCATATGTTAATAAAATTATTTACAGCTATTAAAAAAAATAAATGAATGGAAATTTTTAAAAAATAAAATATAATGTAAAAAAAATTAAAAATGTTTATTAATATAATATAAATTAATTATACTCAAAAAATATTCCTTTCGTTGGGATCTTTTGAATTATGCATTTTCATACTAA